AAACAGCTAAAAAATGTTTAAACAGACCAAGAGGTCAGCGTTCTCTTCGCCCATGTGTTTCTGAAAAAAAAAAAAAAAAAAACACAGCTGTGTGTGGATGCCATAAATACCTGCGTGCACATATGTGTGCCCTTTAGTAAAACATTTCATTGTTTCCTCTGTGTCTCTCTCCCGAATTGTTTCAAGTGGTGTCATTGTGTGACACGATACGGTGGGCGGCAAGCTGAGGGCACGGGAGTCCAGCACACCAGTGGTTAACAAGTACGACCTCACCTTTAGCTACGGCTACGCTAAAGAAAGGGAGGGTTGTTTCTGCAGTGACGGAGCACAGGAGGGCAGTGAGGGCAGCGTGAGGAGAGGAGGGGACCACGTCATTAATGAACCAGTACAGAGGACACTGTGAGAAGAATTACATGAAAAGGGACGCATCAAGGAAGTTAGGGACAACTACTATTCTGAGTATAATTTAGAAATAGGGGTTTCGATGACATAACAAGGTCTCCTTCCCACAATCCTTTTGGCTCTCCTATGTACCTGCTTTCAGCAAAGCTGTGTTAATTGGCTCCAATGTGCTAATATGTACATATATATAAATATTTTTTAGCAATGTGTATTTATAAATACAACAATGTATGTATGTAATTATGGTCTCAATATATGGGGAACGTATATAAATGGACAGATGTATTTTGTCTATACAAAACCACAAAATCAGATGTGAAAAAGAAAATAAATATCACATGTGAATTTACTAACGAAGGCAGCAGCGATGTCTTTTTTAAATAATATTGGACAATGATACTCCACCAGAGCACTACAGCACTCAAACCTGGGCATTCCACCCCCTGCAGGGAAGAAAAAGTATACCACGTGCTTTTGTTTTTGGTTTAAAAAAAAAAAACTGCTTTCTGCTTCTTACGTTTGTTTAAACCTAAGAGTCGAGCACGAAGCAGTAAACACAATAAAATCCTCGTGTTGAAATGACAATCTTTCCCCACGGACAGGGCATAAATCTGGAGTGTTTTCATAAGCTCCTTGTTATGGTTCTACTTTTTTTTCCAGTTGGGACAAACACACTTGAATAAATATCATGGGAATGATTTAACTGAAAACTGTCCCAAAAAAGATGCTGTGGATCCATACGTTTGCCCTATTGTTTACACGTGCAAAGAATTTGAGATGAAGAAAAAAAAACCATAAGTAATGGCACACATACAAACCATAGACCAACAGACTCTCTGCCAGGGTGTGGAGAAGAGAATGGAACAGCAACTGTAGTTGTCGAAATATTTTAAGTTCTTTGCAAGACCAATTTTCGTCAAGGTCCCTGAGCAACACTGGAGGGTCCTGGGATTCATGGGGTCTTAAGAGGTAATGGATTGCTCCTTGAGGGGCAATCTGTGTGGGATTTTGTTTTTCTTTTCTTTTAGCTCTTAGGAAGAGAAAAAAAAAGCACATATGGGTCATACTCGGCGATAGAGTCATTAGGGTGAGAGTAGGTATGAGTGTTGGGCTGAGGGCCTTGACAGCAGGTTGTACACTGCTTAAATATTACGGTACACACACGCAAAACCTAGCCTAAATACACAGGCGCCCTGCGTTAAAGCCCGAGGCATTAAAAAGATGCAACGGATACGGAGGCGAGCGAATCTTCAGGAGACAGGAGAATTAAAGCCTGTCCTGCAGTCCCCCGTGTTGAGTACCATTAGTGAGAGCTTCCTGCGCGTAGGCACCACTCTGTTGACCGTTTATCATCGCCAGAAAAAGGTGGACAGCCACCATTTACACGGAATCACACGCACTCTGAAGCCTCGCTCTACAATAACACGACAGCAGCCGGGACTGCACATCCGTCAAGGGGATGTTTTAAAAAGCGTCATCATTATTACTCTTCATTTTGGAGATGGGTGGATGGGTGCAGGCTGATAGGAGGAGAGACGTCTGGTTAATGTCCAGTTCGTCTCTTTAACCAACAATTCTGGTCACTGAGCGCAGAACTGGAATGATGGGTCCTGGCCGGGTAAGAAGAGGGGGGGGGCTCGGTACAGATAAGCGGTGCCCTGGGTCCATCGGCCGAGGCATCTTAAATCATCGGGCTTCACTCCCTAGATTTCACAAACATCAGCTCGACCCATCGCTCCGAAGCCCTCACTCTCTTATCGACTCGGCTTATCACAGCAATCAGTTATTTGGTGTTCTAACAAACACGTCTGCTACCATCAAACAGTCACTCCTCCACACACAAACACAGACACGCAAAGCTAAAAAAAAAAAATCTGTCAGGGGAAAATTGACTCTTTATATCTGCTGCAGCTCAGGAGAATTCAAAACTCAACCATTGAATCTATAGAATTATATTCCACATTTTTTTTATAACAAAGGCCTGTTTTTGATGAACAAAATTGACGGAATGGATGGAAAACAGAATAATAATAATAATTTGTACAGACTTGAGATATTCTTCTGTTAACAGCAGATCTGCTGCAACAGGCATGAACAAAATTGACGGAATGGATGGAAAACAGAATAATAATAATAATTTGTACAGACTTGAGATATTCTTCTGTTAACAGCAGATCTGCTGCAACAGGCCGGAGGTACGTGGTTCCTCTGGGTATCAAACCCAGGACTCTCTGCTTTCTGCTTGCAACGCTGGCATGCTAACTGCTACACATTGTCCTTGCATTTATAACAACACAACAACAATACAAAATAACAGGTCTGACTGAGATGGTTCCATAATTCCTCTTCTTCTTCTCATGATGGTCTAAAGGAGTGTTGTTTTTATAATAATCAGTTAACGTGTCAAAGAACACTATTATTTCCCTTTTTAAAAAAGCATTAGATTATTAGATTCTAAGTAGCGGGAAAACAATCACGTGAGCTGTAATTATGCATCTTTGTTAACACTCACTTTTGTTTCCCACTAAGGAGACAACGGGTTGGACGTCGGACTCCTCGTTGGCTGCCTTCACTATGCTGAACCAATCCTCTAGATTCTCAAAGCTCTGGTAGTTGGTGATGTCATACACCAGGAGAACACCCTGTGTTGGGAAAATAAAGAGAAAGAGATGGAAATATGTTGACATTACAGTCTCGTTGCTGCTGGTTAGTTATGGATGTGCTCACATGGCTGGATTTCTAATAGCCTTTCATGGTGAGTTACACTAGGTGAGCATGGGAACAGTAGGTGGCACTGCTCCTCCTTTCTGAGAAGGGGACAGAGTTGCAGTCACTGAGACTCTCTCATACATCATCTGCTGTCGGATCAAGATGGTTTTAATCCAAACAGGGTCATCTTTATACACTGTTTGAAGATCTGATTACCTGATTTAATTTTTTTTTTTACTTGACTTGAGTGTTTGAGTAAATGTGACAAGTATATTAGTGTAAGATGTAGCTCAGGTTTCATGTAAAAGGCATGTAAAAAAAATTCCAGCTAAGTCGGAGGTAGCTGTTTTTTTACACAGACTAGTTATTCTAAGATCAATAACAGCAATCTTGTTATCATAAATCCGACGCTCCAATGTAATAGCTAAACTATCCCGTGATCGCGACTTGAAACCTTTGTTGTTTCTGCAGGACCTGAAAATGAATATGAGCCAAAGTAAACGTTCTCTCTTTTACTTTCACTGCATGATGCAACACGACTTAAGGGGGGAGTCTACTGCTTTTTGTCCAGGGAAGACATGCACTGTCACAACATGAAAGGTTGGTGACGACAGCTCACACCTCTGACAATTACTGCGAGTCGCTCCCGAACAGCAGTGATTGATTACAGGACGCACAGTGAGCAACAATAGGTGTGAACGTTTGCAAAAAACGCAGACGAGAAAGTGCCAACAATGAATGGAGGAAGTGCGGCAAACATAATGAGAAGACTGTTTAAAGAACAGCATTCTGTGTTTGTAAAACCATGGAGATTCACTGAATAGAAAATAACATACTACTCTTTTTTTTCCCCCCGGTGTGAGGTAACAAGTCAGGCTTTGTGCCGCAGTGTACGTTGTGAACAACTATAGTCCTGACTGAGGCCTCTTCAGACACACTCTGCAGATGACAGATGACACTTGTCTGTAGTAACACAGTGATGGTACACACATCAGCTGGTGAAAAGAATACCTTCAATTAGCTCATGCTTTTGCATAGCTGTTCTGTGGGAACTGCTTAAGATCAGATTAGATTCTTATTGGATGCACACTGGGGAATTCTTGTATTGCAGCAATTTAAAAGAAAATGTAAATTTAACTAATAAACAGAGATTAAAAAAAAGAAAAAATTACAATAAAAACAAGATCTTTTATATGCAAAATAAATAATTTGACAAAAAATGCAAGACAGTACAAATATTGAAATAAAAGTAAAAAATACAAAATTACTAGACTTTGGAGAATGACTGCACATAAACAGGACATACTGTATTTCACTTTACGAGAGTAAGTGTTCAAAACAAGTGGTTTTCAAAGGAGGGATCCTCAGAAAGTTTGCGTGTGGACAAGAAAAAAAAGTTAGAATTGAATTATTAATTTTTTTTAGGACAACTACAACTTCAGCATGGCAACGGCATCATCTGTGTCAAATCAAAATGAAATGTGGAAAGACATTAATTTGCTTTTCATTTATTGACAAGCTGCTACACATGCTTACTTTTACTTTTCCGCTCATGTCAACTCTCTCCCTTTTGTCGCTCATGTAGAAAATGTAAATTTCATACAAAGAGTCTGCAATGCTTTTGCACTTTTTCTGTTTTCTGCTACCAATCATAACCACAGCCAGATGCTGCTGTTTCGGCCAAGTTTATACTGTATGGTGGATGTATTACAAGCCTGGCCTGTTTCAACTACAACGGTAACACATTTTCTTCGGCCAATTCAATTTTCTTATATCCACTGCTATTGTAGTTTAGTGAAGAAAACTGAATATAATCATTTCCATTCGCAATACAAAGCTATGTGCTAAATGCTAACCAAATGTGTCGTCACAACTGAAGTTGGAATTTAGTTACTCTGTGCATTACCTGTTGTAACAATTGAAACATTTTGAAGATATTGAGTATAAATAAACATATTGTTAGACCTGTAATAAAAGTATGAATTCAAGTCAACTCACATGTGCCCCGTAGATGTATTTATCCAGCATTTTTCCTCCTAACGTTTGGCCTCCGATGTCCCAGACCTGCAGCGTCACATTCAGGTTCCCTAAAGGGGAGAAAAATATGCAGAAATATGTTTGGTTTTTGTTATTTGGGGTTTTTTTTAAGTAAGCAAAAACGGTTTTAAAAATGTCCACAATTTTAATTCATGTAATCAAATTAACAAAATATGTATACATCTCATTTGTTTTTTTTAAGTGAGTAAAAAGGGTTTCAATTTTGTTTAATCAATTAACAAAATATGTATACATCTCATTATAATTTTCATTTTCCTGCATCAACATTTTAGTCATTTAATTGCGCATAAGTGACCCATCACATCTACATCACATTTGACAAAATCCAGTGCAAATATTATGGGGGATACATTCTAGCTAATTTTACATTCTTTACAAAAACCTTGTTCTTTTTGGCCTGGAAAGAGGTCTTTGAATTGTGTCCATTCCCTTCACAGTATGGAAAAGTGAGTGGAATTACATGCTGTTAGGATAATAGTTAAAATTGAACACATAATAAGAATAAAGGGGAAAGTATCCCATCTTTATGTTTCTGGAAATAAAACAGCAGATGAAGAGGTAGAAAGATGGACAGGCACAAAACCAAAATCCAAATAAATATTTTCTTCCTCTGGAAAATGAAAGGGGTGGTTGAAAAAAAAAAAAAAAGTGGTACGTAAAGAGGTGGAGGAGAGCAGAGGAGGGGGGACGAGACAGCCAGGAGTTTGTGTGAGAGCGATGAAGGCCCTGTACAGGGCTGGAGCGGTGACGGGGAGCAGAGCAAACCCTGTGGACACGGCTGGACGACTCGCCCTTCATGAGTCGCCGTCAGAAACGAGGGGAGGTAACGCCGAGGTTCACAGTCACTACATCCAGACTATACAGTGTCAACGTAAAGCCACACGGAGCAGCGCGATGAATAACGTCTAAAGACACCATCCCCACCCATCCTCAGACACCAGCTTTATTTATCTTACACAGATTCACGCTGACTCAAGACCACTGGCATGTTTCTGCTCACAGATGGTAGGAAATGATCGCGTAAGCCACACAGACAAGGTGGTCTGGTGATAAGATCTAAAAGTGACCACACTGGTTTGACAGGTTTTTCCCAAAGACTTCAATTTATACTTTAAATGTATGCTTATATTAATAATTGAAGAGTAAATATTCAACCTCCCGCTTTAGACGGACAACAATTTCATGAATCTACTCCATCTACTGGTCTGTTTTGAACACAACCCTGTACCAGATTTTGTTGTTTGCTTGTTTGTACTGTTTATTTCCAACAAACAAAGTAGTAAACATGATTTTTCATTATGAAATGTAAAATGTATAAACAAAATAAGGGAATCTCTAATGTATACAGGTGTAGTTATTCAGATATAATACATTCTAATGAAGGTTCATGTACAATATCAGGTAATTTGCTAGTGACTAATTTTGTTCATTAGAATAATCACTCAATATTGAATTGGATTTTGTGGATCTAAACACTATCATTACACTTTTTTAACAACTGTGTAACACTCCTGTTTATCCTAGCACTCTGACTCATGATTTGTATTTACACATGTAGATTTTGATATTTTAACATTTCACATTTTGCTTCTTATAACATTTCCATCTTATTGATTTGACATCTGGAAGAGGTCTCACTGTGAAGCCGCACAAGGAGGAGGCTGTGGTGTAAACGTTGGCCTGGTCTCACCTTCACTTGAATTAGCACAGTAACTGTACATTAAACCTGACAGGCCGGGCCTTCATGGAGATAGGGGCCGGTGCTAAAGGCTGCACTCCCCCTGCTGCACACGGCAGAGCGTTATGGCCCCATAGGAACTAATACAAAGCAGAGTGGTGGTCCCAAAACTTTTTGGGACCACCCACTTTGCAGAACCACCCTCCTCTTCATCAGCTCATCAACACTCAATCCTGCAGAAAATGGGACATTTAACAAGTCTGGTGTTGGAAAGTCCTGTGTTGTTGCTGCTCCACTGGTACAGACGTACAGTTTGGACCCTGCATTTGAACAGAGCTTCCAGTGAAACGCTTGAGGAACGCTTGATTATTTCAGGAAAGAACTTACTGGAAAGAGATTAACAGCATTTGTTCTGGTGCATTTTACGGAGCCTGTGCTTTTAGCTGGCTCTTTCATTCCGACTCCACCACAACATTTTTGGGGGTTTAGTTCCTCTAAGTCTCGTAAGCTGAAACTGACACAAAATCAAAATGAAACCATTCAGCCCATTCACAAATCAGCACAACTTTTACATTAAGCACTTAATTTGCCCTCGCTTAATGTTGTTTTATTAGTAATGAAAGAATGGAGCCACTTTGCAGATTTCTGGAGCTTCTGGCCTTGGCAGTCTCTGAGAAAATGCCATTTAAAATTCAGAAAATCCCCCCGTATTTGCATGGTAGGAAGTAAAGACGGAGTTTAAATATAGCATCAGTCAATAAACATTTCTTTTACGGATCTGAGGGGGGATACAGAATGTGATTTTTTTTTCCTGCTGGCTCAACATAAACAAATAAGGACATGAATGTTTTATGTGGTGCAGGACAAAGATCAGTTGAACTGAGGGATCTGTGATATGGATATAAAACGTTAATGTATTTACTCTGTACTGAGCCCGCAGAATTATGAGCGAGGCTCGCCCCTTTGGACATAAGCTGTCCATTGGCCTTGTGGAGTTAAAAAAAACACTTTGCTGTTTGCTCTGGAGAGAAGAGCTTTCAGAGCGAATCACTCTGAGAAGTGGCAGACACTCCAGAAAGAGGAGCTCCCAGAAAAGAGATGTGTTTAACTCCTGAATTCACCTGAAGAAAAACTGCGACTAAGAGAACAAGAGGATACGGGAGAAATGCCCCTTTGTGTTAAATGTCCAGTATACTCCAAAGTAGGAATCAACAGGAGGGACTAGGGATATAGTACCAGGAGCTGCACCATGTGCTATCAGATCATATACCAGGGGTCACCAACTATATTTGTTGAAGTTTTTCACATACACCGGCCTGACACTCAAATTTAAAAAAAAAAATTGAATAAAGCCATACACTGTGGGGATTATTAATAGTTATTTAAGTCACAGTTGTACTTTTTTTAGTTGCTTTAATAGTGGGGCTCACATAATATCTTCCCTTTGATCCTTTGGAATGGGACTGGATAGTCTGCCAGGCCACATTTGGCCCACGGGCCACCAGTTGAAGATCCTTGCAACTTACTGCAGCCATACAGCACTAATGTCTATGAGGTATCATAGCAGTAGAGTAGATCTTTTTCCTTTTCCTTCACACTACTTTAATGTAACAAAATGGAAAAAGTCACAGCAAAAAAAAAAGCCCTTCAACAGAACTTCATCTTCCATTCCTTGAAATATGTTCTTAAGAGTAAAAGTTACAGGTACAACATTTTTATTGACATGTACTCACCGCAATCCATGCACTCCGTAAATCTTTTTTATTATTATTATTATTATGTGCATAAGCAACACACGTGTCAAGGTCGAGTCTCCAAACAAACAGACACTCCCAGAAGATTAGGAAGGTGTCTCACCTGGAAGGCTTATTCTCTTCAGAAAGAAATCCAGACCGATGGTTTGTTTGTACTGTTTCCCAAAGGCCTCCTGAGCAAACCGGGTGGTGAGTGACGTCTGAAACAGAGACAAAGAGGGAGAGAATGATCGTCTAAGAGCAGCTCTGCTCTGATCAACAGAACAGAAAACATCACACTGGAACCAAAGACTGAGTCAAGACCAAAAAATGGGACATGGGAGATTTTTTGGAGAGTAAAACACCAGCATTTCAATTTTTTTCCAAGTTGCTTTAGCAGATATCCAACCAAAAGCAAGGCTGAACATAAGGAGGGGGAGGGGGGTCACTGTGTGATTACAGGGCTGAACATAAGGGGGGGGGGTCACTGTGTGATTACAATATGACCAAATGAAATCCTCATCTCACAAACAGAAATGCATTTTGATCATGGTAAACTAAAATTAAATTCCTTGCACAACAGTAAAACCTTAGACTTAAAAACCCAAAAGAAAATCCAAGCAAAGCTCAAAGAAAAATGTAAAATGCTGTAGAAGTCCTTCCAGAGAAAATACACAGTGTATTAAAGAACTTCCTGAAAAGGGGGGGGGGTTTCAGTGGTGAGTTGAAACTCTTTTTAAAAAAAGCTTTATTCCATTCAGAGTCAGTGCCAAACTAAGCTTTTTACAATATTTCAATTTCCTAATATTTCTAAAAACACAGAGGGATAAGTTATCATATCACAACACTCCTCGGTGGTTCTTTTTTGGGTTTCTTTTTCCACAGTTGAAATTCTGGTGCTGGAGCGAAACCTTGGACACTCATTTCATCACAACAAATCCATCTTAAGCACCTTAAAAAAACACACACACAGGCACAAAGTGATCGACTTGGAGGTGCGCTGATGTAACTGTCTGTCGCCTCGCTCCTCAGCTACAGTTGTGACGGTGAAAATCAACCTGAATTGGAAAAACAGGTGGCAGAGCATGTGTCACGTCTCCAGACGGCAGACCTAATAATTGCTACAAATTATAAAACCTCCATCACTGTCACTGTGATGTTTAAGAATGAGGGGAAAATAGCCATGTTATAGGGATCACCACAAATCCATGGGAATCTATCGTCTGGGCCTGAGGTGCCAAGTACAATTCATTTTGGTGAATGAGGACACAGGGGGAAAAAGGATGAAGAGCTGAAAGTCTATTGGCTATCTTTAGAGCAGTGCTGACATCAACAGAGCAGAAATATGAAGCAACACTAATCTCACACTGCTCGTGACCGTCACCTGGGTTTAGAAGATTTAAACTACATTCGTTCATCATTCGCCAATTTAAAGGTTCAAGAAATGATGGCACAACTGCACTTTTATTTTCTCTTTTTGAACTTTGTGTTATTTGATATTACTGACTTTGAGTCATTATAAAATATAACGTTACTTTATTTTAATTCAATAACTTTTTTATTGGCAGGTGAGGCTTGAAATCCTAACTTTTTCAAAGTGGGAAATGAACTAAAAAGTGTGAGAACCACTGTTTCTGTTAATGTGATAATCATTACAAATCACGAATTAGAGAGCATTAGTAAAAGGGCAGTAAAATCAATAACTCAGCTGAAAGAAAGAAATAGCCTTAAGACTTATGGGAAACAAAAAAGTGATATATATATCCCATATAGAAATATATCCCAGAATCAGTTTACTGCCAGCTTACTGTGCTGAAAATAAACAAAAATAAAAAGTATTTCCATAAACAGCTTTAGTTAGTCACAAAATAGGGGGAAAAGTTTACAAAAAATGTGCAGAAAAAAAAAACTTAATATTGCTTAATATTAAAGAAAGCTGAAAAGATAGCTAAAACATGATGGCCAATGAGGGAAATAGCTAAAGATTTGCCAAGATCTGGGAAAAGAGTTTTCCAAAATAGCATAACATAGGCCAAATGAAAGTACATGTGGAGTTCACAAGAAAATAATTTCCAAACCTGGTTTTATTATACTTTATTTATTAAACATTTATCCTGGTGTGGGTTTTCTTAAATCCTTCCTCTGAATTAAACCTGCTGAATGTGTAGCATCAGCATTTAAACATGTCTTTTTTGATTAATATGTCCTTAGCGCTGCTGCAACGCACACTTTGATCCACCTAATTCTTTTAAAAGTTCACTAACCTGCAGACGTTTTTAATCAAAACCTGCAGACCATGTCACAGTCTGGAGAGTGACTGAAAAATTACCAGAGGTGACTGACGCAACAAGGAGAAAATCGGCCATTTAAGTAGCCCAAACAATCACTGACAACACAGGCCTAACAAGCTTGGACAGCAAAAATGTATTCCACATGCTTGCGTTTGGCCTAGCTGGCCATTTGTCTTGGCATTCCAGTAGCTTGGCTCTGCTCCCTCAGCATAGACGTTTTTTTTTTTCCAACGTACAATTGTAGCTAACCAGCAAATATAAAAACTGGCGTAATCCTGACACTCCAACAGAGAACAGCACAGGGTCACAAATGAAAGCGCTGCCGGGAAATGGGGGGGAAGTTGGACTGAAACAAGAAACTAAGAGAGAAAAATCAAAGAAAAAAAATATGGCAAGCTGGTTTTGCCCATGTGATGTAACGCGTACAAGAGTGGCTGTGCATTTCTGCAGCAGGGTTTCAAAAACAGGCTCTCGACTTTCTTTGAAGTGTCCAGACGGATAGACATGTTGGTTTTCAGAAAAGAGATCCAAACAGTGTGTTTGCATGGTATGTTGTATTATATTAAACAGGTTATTATTACTTATAATATAAAATGTTTTTGAAAAAGTCAAATTAGCACAACAGCATAAACAAAATGGGACGCTCGAACACACTGAAACGTCAACAACAGAGGCTCTGAAAATACCTGTAAAATTATTAGATCCTACAAACCCACAGGCGAAAAAATGTCTAGATCAGGGATTCCCAAAATGTGCTGTGTACACCCTTGAGCTGTGCGTGCTGCCACTAGGGGGCATGAGATAAAAAATGCGATGGTCGTTTGGAGTGTTTTTTTTAAATGGGATTTTTCCACACAATTAGTGTGGATAAGTAAACATTTGCACATGCAGGCTAAAACAATTAGTGTGGCTAAGTAAACATTTGCACATGCAGGCTAAATACGTGTCTGAGTTCTATATTTTTAGTATTTGTGAAGTGCTTTTAACCTACTTTTAACGCCAGGTTTGACATTGTGTATATTAAGTTATAGAAAAACCCCTAGCTTGGACACTGGGCAGAATAGTAGTTAGATAACTTTGTCTCACAGCTGTAGTGCAAATTTATGGTGTATGCAAAAGAAGACTGTAAAGAACATTGCCAGGAATCAGGTTTAAAAAAAATAGCCCAGTGTTTACATTAGGCCTAGGCCTTAATACGCGGGCCACCATATTTTCAAAACATCTAGCTCAGGTGGACAAACCATCTCAGATCTCCCTCTCTAGTCCTGAATGGACAACTGACCACAGGCATAAATAGAGCGCAAAACGCTGTCCAAGAAAAACTGATCCAATTGCAATTTGTTGAGCAAATTGACATTAATAAGGGGGGAAACCAGCATTCAAGATGTCAGTCAGTGGTGCCTACTTAGAATGGGGGCTGGGCGGCTGTTTTCTGCCCAAAAAAGACAAGCAGGTAAGTCATTCAGACAGTGACGGGCTGACACCTGGCAGCAGAGAGGGGATGGTTATTAATGTAGCGTATCTACTGGGAACTGAGTTGTGTGTGTTCTCCACTAGCCTCCCCCCCGCAACTATGCCCCAAATGAAAATGTCTACTTTCCAGAATGAGAACATTCATTTTTCACACTGGGTCTCACCATTACAGCTACATTCATTTTCTTTCTGAGGAAGCAAAGATTATGAAAAGGGGACGTATAGCTGAAGCCACTTGACGTCGCTCCCATAACATTGCCACAATTCAGTCACGGAATGGAGATGCAGTGAAGAAGAAAAAGTGGCTGGATCGTCATGACAACCTCTGCGCTTTCCTGCAAAAAGTGTTTGGTGTGGCAACAGAAGAAAATGGTTGAATTCACCTCTTTTACATAACTTTAATGAACAGACTGAAGAACTCAGTCACAGTGGGTTTTAAAGGGAATGGGGCAGTCCATGAGATCACTCCTGGACATGGAGACGATAAATTAAGAGAAGGTATATTTCCTCACAGTTTAGACACAAACTCTTTTTCCAGACAGTATTTTTTTTTATTATTCTTTCAAATGAGAAAATAACAATGGTTCTCCTGAGGATTATTCAAAAATAATTTCTAAAATGTAGTGCCAGTTACATTTAACCACATTTTTCATGCAGGTCCAGATTCAATCTCTTGAAAAAACAGAGGGCTAACAGCTCCTGCTGTGGTACTTGTGATGTAATTATTGTGTTATGTAATAACTAGTGTTCCATTTTAACACGTTTAGGTAGTATACTGCAGTTGCCTTTTTATAAAAGCAAGCTTTAGAGTTAAGCCACTCACTGCAGTAAAAGCAAGCTTTAGAGTTAAGCCACTGAAAAAGCAAAACATTTCCAAATCAACAAAAATTCAAATAAAGATAAACAAAACTCAAGCTAGAACAGTAGCAAAATAGTAGCAATTTTTTACCAACAGAATGCCTAAACTGCTCAGACACAGATAATTGGAGTAGTTCAAAACCTTTATTTTGGTACTGAGATAATGTATGTTACATAAAAAGAATGTGTTTATTGGACAAAGATTTTTGTAAGGCTTGAAATCAGTGCAAGCCCATAATTAGAACATCTATTATTTCAATTTATATAATAAACAGTTAGCACAACCTAAATTACAATACCAACTTAAATATGCACCTAGTATCGTTGCATGTTAACATTTTGAGGAAAATTATTTAGTTTTTACTCGTGCTCTGTTTATGTGTGTCTGTATAAGTAACAGCTGACGAAGCAGTTTAGAGTCGGTCGCCATGGTGATTATCCATAGAACAAACAAGAAATGTGCGATTGTCTGTGTACATGTGAGAAGGAGAGAGAGAGAAAACGAGAGAGAGAGATCCAACTTGATTTTCATCAATCACGTCTGGTTGAGAGAAGAGTGTGTTTGAGGCAAATTAATTATTCGCGTCCTCGCAATGATGTTAACACAAAATACAAGAGCAACAAACCGATGGAAAGACTTGTACTGTGTCACAGATATTATGATAAGAGACAAGGAAACAGTGAAACACAGTATTTATCCGCGATAAGAACAGCGGGATGTAAAGGGAGTAATGGACACTGAAACACATTCATAAAGTGACTACCCGTGGGAAAATGAAGCCAACAGAGCGTGACAGTACGACAGATAAATATATATATTCAGAATCTCACCTTTCCACTGGCTCCGTCTCCAATCACTACAATTTTCAGCTGTTTGTCCTGACTGTCCTCCTCTGAGTCCGACATGACACCGTATTATCTCCCGACAATCGAGGATCGGTGTTTGAAACGGAAACACTTTAAAAAGACGTAACTCGGCGGTTAACCAAGTGTATTTGTCACGATAAACGGGGATGGATTAAATTAACGCTAAGTGGAGTAACAAAACTGACGCCATTTTGATTCTGCTGCGTTCACTGCTGTCCGCTAACACGATAACTCTTTCCTATCACTCTAGCGGTTGTTTTATACTCGCATGTATAGTTAAAAAGACGATTAAACACGGTAATTTAAAGAAACACTCGAAAAAGCTTAAACATTTAAGCCGCAGGACAAACCGGAAACCGACTCACATTCACCGGATATTTTGTTACGTCACGTGTGTGACGCGTTGTAGTTGCCATGGTAACGTAGGTCAAAGTGTACATACGGTATGTTGTAAAATCCAAGTAAAGATGAGAAAATAACAATCAATAATTTATTATATTCTATACTGTCTCAGATACTATTACTAGAATTATAATTTCAAAGTTTCAAATACGAGAAAAAATACTGTAATTAAATCATTTAATTTTAAATAACTATAGATTTGCCTAAACATGGCTTTCTTCAGCTATTTTGAGCGATATTGTAGAAATTTAGGGATCCCTCTTTCCATATATTATCTAATATTTTGTTACTTTGGTTAACTTTTAGATTTTTTCTGCTATTTTGAGTATATTCTGGCTAACACTGAATAGTTTTTAACTAACTTTAACTTTTATTCTAGGCAAATGTGAAGCTTTTCCTGATTTAAATTTAGTTATTTGATCATTTTTGTATTATGTTAATTAACGTAGTACATATATATATTGCTTACTACCGCACCATAAATTAATCTATTTTTTGACACTTTCAGATTTCAAATCGTTTTCACATAGAGCAAATGGCAAAAAAGCACATACTTCTAAAAAATACACTAATTCTGCATGTGGGAGTCTTCTCTTTTTTTATATTTATTATAATATAGGAAGAGAGTTATTGTTCTCCTAAGAGACTTTTTCATTTTAAATGACTTTCAGAGGCATTTTGGACTTTTTTCAGAGGCCACATATATATCTTTTCTATTTAGGGCTCTGCAACAAACTATATCATTATATGTTTTATTATGTATTATATCATTGAATGTTAATATTTAAAAGAATATTTACATTCCACACTATAATGTAGTGCACAAGTAGATGAAACAGATGATCAATATTTATTTTGTGCCCATTGTGGAACAAATAAGGGACTATAATATGATTATTATGAAAATGTGTCTTATTCATTATTGTTGCTTGATAGACTATTATATAAAGAATCCTTAAAAAATGCTTAACTTCCTATAGGTACCTACTTTCACCCAACATGGCGAGGTTTCTTCACTGAATATTTTCCAGTTAGACTCAGCAAAAGTTAACTTTCTATTTAACAGGGCATTAAATCCCACGGCAATTTAAAGTATTTCAACAGCACATTTGGCCCACACCCCATATTTCTGACCTTGTATACACACTTTGAGGGTGGCATGTCTGCATCAACTCCCCAAAGTGTCTTGGGAGCAACAAAAGTGTTAGTTGGTCCCCGAAGACCCACACATTAAATGGAAGGTTAGAATTCTCCACCGCATAACCCAGAAATTCTTCTACAGCGAAAATAGGATTTCAAAAGTGTTTGATTCCATTATGCAACCAAAGGAATGGATGTTGTTGATTTAGATGTGGTTGAATATCAACATTTTGAACAATTTTTAGAATTAATTTAAAAATCACCAGTAGGATGAATTAATAATTAATGAATTCATGGGGTTATAATGAAGTGCAAGCAGGACACATAGAAAACAAAATTTATTACTTTTATTTTTTTATTACTTACGTAGTACTTAATCAGTGAAGCTATACTTTGATGTAAACACAGAGACGATACAGTATAGATATACTATATATAATATTGTGTTGAACCCAATGTTTACATTTTTGCCAATCAATTGCAGTGCATCATGTACATGTATATTTGCTGGTTTTACAAAACAATTCGTTCTACTTGACTATTTTGATTAAATATATATTTTCCAAAGTTTGGTTCTGCTTAAGTGGATTTTGTTTTTTGCGTTTAAACTGTTATTATTCCACATGTTATATACTCTACCAAAATATGAATTCGTTAGATTGTTAGTCATAGTATAATAAAGTAAAATTTTCAAATGCTTAAGAACATGAACTAAAACTCTCATTATTTTTGTTTAAAACTTTGTCTTCTTTCTAAAGTTTGCGGTGTTTTTACACTTGAGGTAAATCCGGATGCTCGTCTTTCAACCTTACTTACTGAACTTTCTTCACTGCAGGAAAAGCATAGAGTGATGTCGCTGTAACACGAGGGAGAAGGAGTAAGAGGAGGAGGAGGAGGAGGAGGAATTTGCACCTGGGCCACTTTGAAGAAGGTGACAGTGCGTGTCCGAAGCTGTACTCCTGCAGAAGGGTTGTTGTGGGCGAGTGAGTGACAGATTTCAAAGCAGAAGTCTGGAGGGTCGCAGTGGACAAGATTTGTAAAAATGTTGATGTTGGAGTTCTGTCTTTTTTAATTATTCAAGATGGCCGATTGCACCAAACCTGGAAATAATGAATTTACCAAGAAGGGTTAGCAAAAATTAAAAAGAAAATAACTATTAAATAAATATTCTAAAAATATCCAGACAGACTGTTTTGTTACATGTTTTTTTTTTTTTTAATTGTCGGGTTGTATCCTTGTACATAACCGTTAGCTGTGTATGTCTTAAATCACGTATTATAGGTCTTCTTTAAAGTGAATTAACCTTTTGACCGGAAACTATAGACGTTAGTCGAGACGCTTTATTATACTTTCGAAGAATTATGTTAAGTTATTTCCGTTCAAAAAACCAATGGAAACTGGTTGGTAAATCAATGTTCATGTGGAATGATTACGTTCCATGTTATTTTTATAATAGTAGAGGGAGCTCTGGGACATTTCAACTCTATTAACCTCCATACTCTTCCTTAAAACATAACAAGAGAACAATGATAACCTATTTTGGGATAAAGTTTGAGTTTGAGTTTCGGCAGCTGATGTCAAGTCACAGTTTTGAACCACATCTGTTTAATTTGAGATTAAACGAGCTCACGTGTTCGATTGCTTCTATTCAACGCCAATTTTCTATCATCCACTGTGTAACTTGATATAAACCAACACCGGTCCAGTCTGTACGACTCAAAATAATAACCCCTCAGCACAAAAGTCAAGAGCGAGCAGCAGAAATGTCCTTGAATCGTGTGTATGAGCAGCACGGATCACGAAGAACCTCATAATTAGTCTCAACCAATAAAATCACAGGATCTAAAACGGTTTGTCTGGACATCGGTCCAGTTATTGCGACGCCACATTTTCTGTTCCTGGCACAAAAAGGTATGAAATAAGACCAAAATTTTGCAATTTTTCCTCCATTCTCCCATCCTAAATTAGAGGCAGTTTTTGACACAAATGCGCCACATGTGCGTAAGTCCTCCTTGTGTGTGCGTAATGCATCCACAGAGGGGCCTACAAATAACCACAGGTTTTGACAATCATTTCTGAACTTTACCCTTGATTTACTGAGACCACGCCCTAATTAAGAGACACGACGTGCACGTTTCCCGAGTAATAAACGTAAACTATGACGAAGGACGCGATGGTATGAGGTTAATGTACACGGATGGGGGTATTTGTATTCCAAAACACAGCCAGAAAGGAAATAGCAGCCGCGATTTCTCTCCCTCTGTGTGTGTGCAAGTCTCTCTCTCTCTCTCTCTCTCTCTCTCTCTCTCTCTCCCTCTGTATATCAGATATCCTCACATGCAGGTATGAAAGGAAGTCATGTGGGACGGTCCACTCCTCTATCAATATTCCTCGGTGTCCTTCAGGAGACAATGCCGCTGGAGATGGCCTCTGGTGCTGCACCTTTATACCTGCATCAGGCAGATCAGATTTTAAGGGCACATATGGGCGCCATTGAGACTGTGGGAGCAGTGATCAAATAAACTGCGCGCCTATAAATAAAAATCAATCCAGGTGTCGGTGTGAAAAGCGGTCAGTTGGGAAAAAATAAAAAGGCCATTACACCATATTGTCAGTAATAACGTAATTCACATTTGTACCTCTGAACAGCACTCCAATAATTGTCACATCATTTTTGTTATTCAATGAGAGAGGTGTTGTCTTTCAATGCCTAAAAAGTGTGAATATGCAAAGGCGCAGTTTCTTTACGAATACCTATTGGGATCTATTGGGGTTTGTTTCAGTTATGGATAGAGAAATGTTAGCATAATGCTTAAAGTAAAGGCTATTGCTGGTTAATTTGGGTTCCAAAGCATTATCACCAGTTCGCAAATTGCGCAATTGCCATTGGATTAAAATGTGTGAAATTCTCAATTTTAGGAAACAGTAACTCAAATCACTATATCGCCTGGTAGTTTATTATATATTTTCAGTCTGACGAGAGCAGGCTGTTATATTACATCGCCAAGTAGATTAGTTGTCATCATTATAAAGACAGGGGGAGCTTAAACGTCGTTGCGTAGCGTCAAAAATACAGAAAATGTACCGATTTACTGTACTGCCAGTTTGTTTCAGTCTCTTAAATGCACCTCACTATGTTGTATCATATTTATGTTTTAACCATTAGGACACAGACCGTATTCCTTGAGTGTGTCGTCTCGTTAAGCTAAGGAGTGGTGCCAGAACGCATTGTTTAGAGCCTTAAAAAAAACGCTCTACTACACCACTATGTTTTTGTCTTTATTATTTCCAATGCATACTGTGTAGAAAAAGAATTGTAATGAAATGTAAACCGGTAAAACAGACAGCGAGCTTAGAAACGTCAGTGCGTAAAAGCGCGGTGCCATTACGCACAGCGCTGACAACAGACCTTTAAAACATCTTGGTCTAAAAAAAAAAAGACAACAATGCACCTGGACTGGGTCATTGAAAAGGGTCATGTGATTCAGTCACATGTGTCCGAGCAATCAAAGAATTTATAGTGACTTACACTGTAAAAAGCTTCAAATCGATGAAGCCCAGTGGCATTACGCACGAGTGCCGCAACCGAAAACTTTGAAAAATAAAGAAATGTCTACTTTAAATGTATTCTTACTTGTATGTACTGATGTAACAGGTTTTACTGCGGGGTTCTGGAATATATGATGCGTGACAGCTCCCCTCTGACCCCGACCTGATGTCCTGTCAGAGAAACCAGCTACTCCCAGAATAACTCCATCACAGGTCTGTAGGACCGTTATACCGATTACTTGGAGAAAACACGATCTATTTTCAATCTGTTAAACAACACAAAACAAGAAGCCTACACCTCTCCTTCCCTTCTTTAACTCATATTGAGGTGCAGTGACACGGGCTCCTTAACCCCGGAATAGCCCTCTCCTTGTGATGACATGCAGCCCTAAAGGTAGCTGTCAGTTCACCCTGTCCGGGAATCACACAGTCATTCATCATTTTTTGACAGGTGTTGTTTGGGGGGGAAAGGCATGGTGGCCCGGATGAGGAAAAAGAAATTAAAACCACACTAAAAAGATACTTTTAAAAAAAATCATTTGGGAAAAAGGTATTAAAAAAAACTTCATTTGTAATAACGGTGCAGGTGAGAAATAAAATAAATAACAAAACGTGACTGAGGATAAACCTGACTCACTTTGTTCCATAAAATCCAACAGTGACGTGTGAGTGTGTGTGCACTCCAAATAAAAAAGCTCCAAATAATTCACTTTTGTCAACGATATTCCATTCAGTCCACGTAATCGGGGAGTGTCACGTAGAACGACGCGTCATACTGAGGTTTACCAATAATATGAACCTCAAACATTTTTTTTAATTAAATCGAATTATTTGTTTAATAATGGGATAGGATTGTGTATTCTCTAATTCAACAATTATACATATATATTATTTATGTTAATAAATAACGCTTGCTATTATAATTTATATATTTTTTCTATGTCCCCAATATTCCACGTTGTCTCAAAAATTTGTAATAATAAATTCCATCCGAGTGAATGTAAATCCCGTTATGTTTTTAATATTTCTTCGGTCATTAAACACAGAACACATTTAATTACATTTCATCAGGAAGTTGGTTTTTGTTGTTGTTGTTTTACGCTCCATAATTTCTCAGTCAACAACAAAACGCTTTAGAACGTGTGTTTTTTTTTTTCAGTCTGATCTGAAAATGTCTAAACTATAATGTAAAGGTAAATGACGTAACATAGATGCTCAAAGTGCTGAAATATCTTACCTTTACAAACACAGCAAAAGAAGGGGGGAAATAAAAATAAAAACACAACATGTAACGCAGACAATTATTTGAATATTTCAATGGAATACACCCATTATCAATCACTGCAGAGGTAGGAAGGCGCATCGAAATCATAAACCAGCATATGGTGACATTTCGTAGTCAGTGTCAGGCCCCCGGCTCCCTAAAGCGGGGTCCGGTATGTGTTGAGGTCCTCCAGGGGCTCCCGAGCTGAGAAAGAAATACTTTGGTGTGACACCTCAGAGTTTAACATACTGACATTTTATATAAGGAGGTCCAGTCTCGCCCGCTCGCCCACAGCTCGGTCATTTAAGATTTATATACCTCAAAATACGAGGAAAGTCTTCTGCGGTGGGTTTGTCGGGAGAAACTAAAAGAAGGGGTTTATAAATATTTTTTAGAATGTTGAGAAGGCTGGGGGAAGGGGAGAAAACTCTGGGGACCCCTGGTTCTCTGGAGATCACGACGAGGCAGATCGTCATATGTCATCCTCTTGTCAGAAAAATAGTTACTGTTAGTCTGGGTTTCCTGTCAAAATAGATCAGAATAAATAAAGTCGGTGCGCTCTCACTGGTTCCCTGCACACGCAGAGAGTGTCCACGCAGGGAGGCAGTAGGCGTACGGGTAATAGTAGGACGGCTGCAGGGAGAGCAGCGGGGGCCGCAGGATCTCTCCCGGGCTGTACTGTCTCTGGTCGTCCCGCACCAGCACCTTCACCGCCACTTTCTTAGCCGCCGGGGTCGAAGCCATCAGATCTGCGGCCATCTGGCGGCGTTTCGTCTTGTACCGGCGGTTCTGGAACCAGATCTTGACCTGCGTCTCTGTGAGCTTCAGGGAGGCCGCCAGGTCCGCCCGCTCCGGCCCGGACAGGTACCGCTGGTGGTTGAAGCGACGCTCCAGCTCGAAGACCTGCGCGTGGGAGAATGCGGCCCTGGAGCGCTTTTTCCGCTGTTTGGGCTGATCTAGACTCTTCTCGTCCATGGTGCTGGAGTCTGAGAGACGAGGACACGCACACAGAGCAGGGACGTGAATGAACGTGTTTGTTGGATTGTGTTTTTTTCTAGTAGTGGAACAACATTTGATGGTGATTTGATCAAAGCGTTGGGATGTTGATCTCTTTTTTTAAATGCGCATTTTTATCTTACATCCCTGAGAGGCTGTGTGGAAATTAAATTAAATTAAAATCGAATTGACTTAAATACTTCACATCGGATTTTATTTGTTGACGTGTGTCTAGATTTGACAGATTGTGACATTTAAAAAAATGGAAACCTTCCGTAGAAAGAATCCGTGTGATAGAGTCAAGTTTAAGACACTGAAATTGACGTTTTATTTGAACCAAAGCTCAATAATTAAAGAGTGAATCTTATTAAAATGAGGTGTAAAAGTTCCTCTCCTAAAAGTGTGCAGGATGTGGATAACGAACCAGGCCCAGGTTCACACAAGTTCAGGTCAGTTTGCAAAACAAAAAGTTCAACTTCATCTGACACCACTTGACTTTTCCCCAATTTTAAACCACGACAACATGTCACAAATAAACTTTAACAGATCCGAAGACCTCACTTAATATCCGCAAAGACATTTTGTTCACCCAAAGTGAATATATTCGGCCGTAAATCTGAAAATACTCGCGCGTAATGGTTGCGGATGTTGTGCGTAAAAGTAAGCAAGACGTAAAATACGCTCACTAACAGAACTGATTTCCTACAACAACAAAACAACACCGCTGTTCACGATCACACACACACACACACCGAACCCTAACAGCTGAAACACCTGGGATTTAAAGGTTTTATTCTATTAAAGTCAGACGTGAATCTCTGGCTGTGGTTTCTGACTCATTAAAAAGCTAATTTATTTTTAACACGTGTCTTTCTGAGTCACTCACCGGTGCCATTAACTGGCTCACTGTCGCTCTTTGCGTTCTCCGCAGCTGCAGACTCCTGGTCGGTCTCCTCCTGCAGACTCTCCTCGGGAACATCCGACCCGGGGTCTGCGTCTTTCTCCGACTTGCACACTTTCTCTGGAGTTTTGCTGCTGTCGTTGTCGTCGCTGAGCCCCGAGTCCGAGTCGTAGCTTTTCTGTTCCGCGGGCTCGCACGCCTCCCCTGCGTCTCCCCTCGACCCACCGTTCATCTCCCCGAATATTTTCCAGCAAGTCGTCTTGGAGAAGCACATGTCCAAATCGGGCAAGTGTCTGCTGTCGTCCTTTTTGTTCAGAATGGCTTGAATTGAAAAAGGCATGAGTGAGTTCCCACGAACGGCCATTTTCAATGTCAGGCAACAGTGTGGAGAGGAGGAAAAAAAGTTTTCTCGCTCTTCAAAGAGAGTAAACCACCAGTCTGGATCGTGGAGTAAAACTCAGTTCATCAACATTTTAGCATTTAGCATTTAACTTTCCGTGGATCTCCAGGGTTGGTTCCTGGTCGCATCCCAGCCGCAGAAAGTCACTGCTAAATCCGCAGGCGCGACGCTGCTGCTGCTGCTGCTGCTCCGTGGTAATACTCTGCCATCAGCCCGGCAGTGCTTCACTCTGGCTCTTTTCACCCAATTTTTTAACCTCCACCCTCACCTGTGACTGACAGGCGCTCCTTATCGTCTCCCATTGGCCTAGGGAGTTGGAGAACTCCTTCACGATTGGTCACTGGAAACGACGTCACGCTACTTTCTCAACAAGGGTGGGAAAAAAACATCAGTTTTTTTTAACTGGAGGCGAAACTGTCAGGAGTTCACAACAACACAAGGGGGTTTTAGTGAAATCTTCATCCCCCAAAAATGTGAGAGTAAACTGTATAACTGTAGGAATTCTACCTCTTGAACTATGGGAATGGATCAATAATTTATGTGAAATAGAAAATATTAAAATTAATTTAATAAAAAAAGAAACGCCGTGTGCGTTAAAGTATGAAAATTTGAAATATTTATAAACAGAATCAGCAAAAAATAAAATCAATTAAAAGAATGCGACATAAGGAATTAAATTGGAGTTTTGGGTTTTGGGGTTTTGTTTTTTTTTTACTTAACCTCTTAATTATCCAATCAGGACAACAGGGGATTTGGTGCGTAATGGTGCGCGTAATGGGATTTTTTCGAATCTGGTAACACTCTGAGTTGTGGTTGTCGCAGCCTCTCTTTCTACGTTTGATTTAAATCCATTTTAGTCTGCTGGGAGTGCACGACCTCTGGTCCGTGTCTCCTGCTGCTCCTTGAAAGTCCGTGACCAGCGGCTGCAGGCCTCAGGCTGTGCGTAAAGGGAATTACTGCCTGGCGCGGATTTAGATAACGCAGTAAAACACGAGAATTGACTAACTGTTGACTCCATAAAGTACAAACCCGTGTTCTAGTTATCGTCAGATTCCTGACAACGCCATGTAAACACTGACCTGAAAAATATTAAACCAAAAAGGGCAAAGAGGAACAAAACAATGTAGCAGATCTGCAGAAAACCTGCAGAATATTAATCCGATGCATTAATAATCTTTGCGTTTAAATGATGATATTTTGAAATGTCGTTATCACTTTTAATATATTCTGTCTGTTTGGTAATGTTTTTGAATGATTCTGTTGTGTCCATGTAATGTGTGTTTAGTTTTATTGTATTTTTATCTAAGCTTTACTCGATTGGAAAACACTTTGGTCAGCTTCGTGTTTAAAAAGAAACGGGCAAGACTAAAATTATTGGATTGGACTGGGTTAGAATTTCGTGCCCAGCACTGACGTACATTCATTACTAAAGATGCACCGCAGACAACATAAGGTTCTTTTTTATTATTATTATTATTAGAAAATGACTTGTTCAGCTGCCGTGTGTGAGCTGATCTCACATTGTCTACGCTGCAAAATTAATTATTTGCCCATTGTCTGATCAGGATTTTTAAATCGGTCTTTTTCTGTTGACTAGTTTATTTTTATTTAATTTTATATTATTTTATTTCATTTGTGCTAGAATTGAGACCATTGGGAATATTATTTTAAATATACCGTGATATGTATTATATTATTATTTATTTATTTATCATCTTTTTATTTTTCAACCAATTGTTTCTTTTATTTACTTTATTTTTTTCCTCCCATCTCTGTTGTTTTTTATGTTGTTGTTTCTTTTCCTCCCACCATTAGTGTGGACCAGTCAGAGATGTCTTTCTTCTGAACGTTTTTTTTTTCTTTTTTCTCAAATTGTCTGAACTTAAATGACTTGTCTTTTGTTTATTTTCTGTTTACCTCCATGCTGTAACAGTATTTGGATTGGATTCTCACTGACCCCGGCCCCCGCTTAGATAAATCTTTATGACTTACTCCACGTTTACCTTGGCGTGTGCATCGTATTTATCATTTTTGATGTTTTTGGTTACACCTGGCGGTGTTAGTTTACTCCCGTGTTTTTGTCTTTCCTCTGTTTGCTTGTCCATGTTGTAGATGAAATACCCTGCGGACTACAGACAAAAACGCTCTTCAAAGATAATGAGGGTGTCCTGTTCTATTCAGTTATATATAACAACAACTCTCACAAATAGTTCGGATTCACAGAAATGTGCCTACTGCGTTTTGAATGACGTTATAAACATATAGTTACAATAAAAAGATACATTTAATTAATGACAACAATTGCGAAATATTAAAAAAAAAAGTTAAATTTCACAGAGTGATATTTGTTGAGGGGAAAACAGTCGGTGTGATTTCAGTAAACAGTGATGAATACTCGAGATAAAACCAGGCTCTGGTTTGGAGATGCACAGACTCAGCAGTCTGATCTGAGAGGAGAGGAGAGGAGAGGAGAGGAGTTATCACCGCTGCTTGAAACCATCTAGTGGCCACTGGAAAAACCTTTGGACATGTCAAAACTCTGATGTCAGCTCGGTGACACGTTCACCGACGTTTTCTCTCGACATTGGACGTGATTTTTTAAATAATATTATTATTTCAGTTTAAAGCACATTATAAGTATTAAAATAAAATGTAGGTGGAAAGTAAAAGGTGACAAGGAGAGGGCGGGTGAAATATTTCTCACATATTATTTAGATAATTTAAGTTACAGCTTTGGAGGATGATGACAGTTCTTTTTAACAACTTTTAGACTTTTTGCTAATTCTAGAGAACGATTTTGTTGCATTTTTCATTAAGGTTATTATAAACGAATTTATTGCTGATTATAGAGGCAGTTTTAGTTATTCATTTACTAGACAAATGTTTTGGCCAGACGTTTAACTGAACTGTTTGAAATCGATTTTTCCCGTTTCTATTTTTCCCGTTTCAGGTATGATACAGAGATGTTCTTACAACTAGTGTGTAGTTTATCCTTTTTTTGTCATAATATTGGCATAGTCGGACATTGCCCTGTCCTGCTCCGCTCTGTCCGTATAAATCCGTGTGACGCTGCTGGAATGATGGAATGATGTGACATTGTCTGTGTGACCTTGACAACAACCACAAACACTGAGAAAAACAACCGAGACAGAAAAAGGCACAAACCGCTGACACTGTCTGGACTTTTTCACACACCCTGCTGCCGTTGTTCTCTCAGACAACACCCAAGGCCAAAACACCGGTGGCACATCACACAGTTTTCATTGTGCAAACCCAGAAGTTTTTTTTTTTTTCGTTACTTGTTTTTGTTGGCTTTTGTCCTAAAAACTGACCAATGTCCAGGGGCTTAAAGCCTGCATGATAAAAAAAAAAAAGGAAAATAAATAAAAGTGTGCGCCAGAGCAGAACACTGTGGGTTCCTTTGTGTTTGGGGAACCTCACTGTGAGCTGCAGTGATGGGCAGTAAGTGGCTGTTGGTTAGAGGCAGCTGGGAACCTGAACTGTCCGTCTGTTCACACTGAAACTCCCGAGGACTCGTGGTTCAACTGTAGAGACACAATGACCAGGAGGGACGTGGAATTTAATCCAGTTCAGCAAACACACAGAAAACTACACTTGTAAAAGAAAATTAATGTTTTTGTGTTATGTGGAGAAAAGTTCTACAAAAAGATAATTCTCATGCCAAGGTCTTGGGTTGTGAAACATGGAAAATCGTTGACATGTAACTCCAGCCGTTGTTGCTAAATACTCTCCCTCTTCTTAGTATTCAAATTGATCGCCTTCGAGTTTAACAAAACATGTTCTTAAATCTTCAAAAAAAAAAAAAAAAAAACTAAAAACTATAATCAATATTTTTTGGCAAAAAAACCCCGAGGTGAATATCAAGGTATATCAAGACATCTAAATAACTAAATATTTTTAAATTGTTGAAAGATTGCATCGAATTTTAATACAGAAAAAAAATGTTAATAACCATAGCGGAATATTATCCAAATTAAACCACAAATGTACAACAAACTTGAAATTTATTGCAGCATTCTAAAAATTGATTAGGAGCTCAGCAAATAAAAAACACGCACACGTAAACTTTAAAATATCTTATTAAAATATGCCATCGAACCCAGTGTTAGTCTAAGAATTAGCAATTAGCTTACAGTTTTTGCAAAAAAAAAAAATAGTAACTGGTATCTGTAAAACAGCCTAGACACAGTTCAAAGTTAGTTTAAAAAAGAGGCCAAACGTTGCGTCATATCGCTCTTAAAATAGACAAAACAATGTCAACATCTGAATAAAAGGTGGAAACAAAATAGTTTCAAGCCCTGCATGGACATAGCTCAAAAAGCTGGCATAAATACAATAACAACGTACTTCATTAGAGTAAAAACTAAGTTTTAAACGTATTAACGTTAAATAAAATAAATAGAAAGGAAAATGTTGCATTTCGGGAGGTAAAACTAAACAAGTTATGTTAACAAATAATATTTCTTTGGTGAAGGTGATGCTGGTATGATGGTGCTGGAAAAAAGAGCTCCATCTAGTGGTGATTAATATATCATAACTCTAATGTAAAAGATTTTTTGGGTTTTTTTTTTTTTTTTTTTTTTTTTCTTGGAAAGATGAGATGTTGAAGTGCATAATAATAAGTGTTGCCGGGAAGAGGTGGGCAGCATCAGGGCCTCTTTGTTCAAACCCACACTGACATCGTTCCTTTAGTGACGCCACACTTACATTCCCACCACCTTCTCCACTAAAGAAAATCAACTGTAATGGCAGGTCAGGCTATTATTTCATTTAGCTCCTCCACCCTCCAGAGCTCTGACCTCCTCAGCTCCTTCCCTCTGCTCTTCCCTCCAGACTTTAATCTCAGGCTGTAGGACAGAAAATGTCGGTTGATGCAGCAAACGTGCCAGGCTCTACTGCTGTAATGTCTCTGTTTCCACTCCAGCTCCAGACTGTGTTTATGACTTAATGCTGCCATGAACAAGGACCCACAACATACACTCACATTTTACCTACTTCCTGGCAAACCTTTTGCTATTATTGGCCAAACCTACATATCATCTTGGGTCATTTTGCAGTTCCTCTGTGCACACTACCTCTGGGTCAACAGTTTTGTTATTCTTTCACAACTTTTAATCGTTTCCTTTTAGCTTTTTAGCCTCACTTTTGGTTATTTTAGGGCTTGTTTTCATTTGTTTCTGGTTTAACCTTGAGGCACCTAGTCAGACTTTTGTTTTGGATAATTTTGGTCCATTTGTTTTTTTGTTGAACAATATGTTAGCTATGGTTAGCTGCTTTGTCTGAGCCTTCCTTTTAATCTGGCTAATAATATTTTTTCTTTTTAGCTAGTTTTAGGCAACTTTAGAGCAAACCCTGTGCTGTTTTTATAGCATTTATTACTTATTAGCGTAACATTTAGTAACTCTATTATTGGTCTATTGGTCCATCTCTGAAATGGCCTAATTCCTTTTAGCAGTTGTTTGCTAATATTTAAATCAACTCTGCTTTTTTTAATTGTTTAACTCATTTTGTTAAGAATGTGTTTCAGGAGTTTCCATGTGTGTTGGAATGAACCAGAAGGAGACACACAACTCTCTCCGTCCCCACATCGTCCTCCCCGTGTGAGAGAATCATCTAAATTGTGTTCAGGTGGAGCAGTGTTTAAGAGAGAGGCCTTCTCCAAGAGTCATTTACAGTAAACGCTCAAAAAACACCACAGAGATTTCTCCACAAATCTCTATCTGCGGCATGATAGCGGCCATAATCAGCCTCAGCACTGGAAAGTGGAGAAGCTCAGGCAGCTCGGCGTTGTTGGGGGGAGGACAAGGGGCTGAGTTCAGTCTCCTCAGCTGCAACTGGAGCCAAAAGAAAACCTCACCTTCACATGCAATGAAGCATTTAATAGAAAATCTCCAGGGAGAAAATCCTCAATACAGTTAATGGAACCAAGAAAAAAAACACGTGATTAAAGTTCACCAACTGCAGACCAGGGTTTGACAGTAAATTCTTTGAGCAAGATTTTGTTTTTTGTGACTTGTGTTATTTCATTTTACAGCAATAACGTCTGACTTTTGGCTAATATGATGTACTTCTGTGCCTAATTTGAACTTTTAGCATTTAGCTATACATTTGATTATGTGGAATTGTAGCTATTGTTTGATTAAGCCATTGGTTGTATTTGGTCAAAGTTTCCCTAAAGTATTGTAATTTAGTTTTTCTCCAAATGTATTTATTTTTAGCTATTTTGTGACTAACTGTTAGCTAAAGCGTATCTAATGTATAATTAAAAATAAACATTTCTGGCACTATTTAGGTTGGCTTGAGTTTAGTGAGCAGGTGCAGAAAGTCTAACATTTTATTTTTTGCAAAACCAAAAATTATTTTTTTATATTTAATATAAAATTTCATATAAAATAATATTATAATTGGAGCAATGCAATTTACAGGCAAAGTGGAAATATTTCAGAAAACTTTTGTGTCTAAGGTGCTGTTAATTTCTGAAGCAAGTGGACGGGAGGAGGGAAAAATGAATCCTGCCGCCCTGTTACAGTCCAATTACTGTGTGTAGATAGTGGAGAAGTGATTAATGGTTTATGTTCAGCTCTGCCGTGCGGACAAACGATCTTTCCTGCGAGCGTGGCATGCAGCAGATAAAGCACGCAGCTCAAGCACATCATGAAAGGCTTTCACTGGGCTCTCAGGGGCCTTTTCTCCTACGTGCAGACATCATCTTCAAAGCAGCAGGAGCCCCCCCCACCCCCTCCCTAATGGTTTCGTGTCATAGCTAAATGTGACACTTCTGAACACAGGATTTGATGTAGTTGTGAAAACTTTAAGGGCCATTTAGAAATTCTTGAGATATTATGGGACCCGTCTTTTCAGAGGCTGAAGTGGTTTGTCACTGAGCGCAGCTGCAGCTCCAGCTTCCTGCAGACGAGCAGTTTTTGTGTCTCTGTGATTTTTGACGGCAGATTTGTCTCCCTGACAGCTGTTTGAAGTCCACAGTGGAAAAGTCTTAGTCAAAACTCTCTTTTCCCCCCCTTTTTTTCCCTTAATTATTCCGTTGTCAAATAATAATTTTTGTCCAGTTTTTTTAAAAGATGGAAAAAACGCAAGGATATGAAAGAAAAGATGACTGATTTTATATATATTATATATAAATATATATTAAAATCAGTGTCAATTTCTGTCTTTCAAATCTATTTTTGGCTAATTTCTAGCTAGTCTGGATTAAGATGTGTTAAATTTTTTTTACTTACTTTGAGGATATTCTCACTTTTAACTTTCACCTATTCACTTTTATCTATCTTCAATTTTTTTACTATTTTTCGGCCATTTCTGGACTTTAGCATAGCATTCCTGTGTGCATGTTTTGGGCTAACACTTAAGTAAATTCACTGGGTATATTAAGTTAATTTAATTCAATTTATATCTATTTGACCAAGCTTTAATTATCCTTTGGACTCAAGCAAGCTTATTTTCAGTCAACATTTTTTGGCTAACTAGCTACAGTTAACTTTAGCTATGACTGAGCCACCTTATGTTCTTTTTGCTAACGTTGAGTTTTCGTTTGGATATATTTTAGGTATTTCCCGACGTGTAACTTCTGAGTTATTTCTTTGGAATGTAGGCCATTAGAAAAGGGTGTTAGCACTTTTGCATTGTGATAATTTTTTGGAGAATTTTTGGCTACACTTTTACAGAAACCACCATGTCTCTGGACGTGGTTGTGAAAAAAAAGAGAGCAGTAAGTGGCTTTGCTGGTGGGGAGCAGAGCCTCTGTTTGAACGCCGACTGGTTTCACGCAGCTGTCAGCTGAAACCGAGGTAACGGCCGCTTCTGAGAGGAGGGGGTCCTGAGGACCTGCAGCGTTAAAGGTGGGT